TCCTCCCCCTCGCAAAGTGTGATTCCTAAAAAGAATGTAAACGGGCACATTTCACACGATACCTGCATCTTCTCTTCCCACACTCGCAGGAATATGGGTAGACAAATCACTCGAGGTCCTCAAAAGAGGAATGCGGCTTTTTAAATTCCGCCCTTGGAGATCTGCTTGGTGTGTTTTGACAGGTAGTCGGCTCGTCTCGCTGCCAAAGCGGTCAACAGAGTAATTCAAAAATAAATCCCCGTAATGGCCTCTAATAGCCGAAGAGTTCAAAGGTCAAGATCGTGACCCCTGAAGCAGAGCGCTGTTTATGTTACACGCTGACCAGATTTAAAAGCAATTAAGAGATTTATTTTCAACAGATAGGGATCAAGAAGGCAACATGTAATGGTTTCCCCAGAGGTCTGCCTGTAAATAGAGGTCATGGCAGATAATTCTCTGGTTGATTTCATGGCAACAGTGAGACAGAGGATGCATTTTCACAGGTTAAGGACAAATTCAGAGTTGTTGTTTTTTTTAAAAAGGCTCTGATTAGTTGGAACAATAAACTTTATTTGATAAACAATTACTTCAGCTATACAAACGAGACGGTAAAAATACTGTAGGCTGTTTATTTTTGTATTAAGGAATTAATGACGTGTGGACGTCGCCATTTTATTCACGCCGCAACGCATTCCGAGTAAATGACAGACAGGTTGCTCTGGTGCAAGCTCCATTCAGCTTAAGTGTTAATTTTGGATTTTATCTGACATTCCATCCATCCATCCATCCATCCATCTTCTTCCGCTTATCCGGGGTCGGGTCGCGGGGGTAGCAGCCTAAGTAGGGAGGCCCAGACTTCCCTCTCCCCAGCCACTTGGTCCAGCTCCTCCGGGGGAATCCCGAGGCGTTCCCAGGCCAGCCGAGAAACTTAGTCCCTCCAGCGTGTCCTGGGTCTTCCTCTGGGTCTCCTCCCGGTGGGACGTGTCTGGAACACCTCACCAGGGAGGCGTCCAGGAGGCATCCTAACCAGATGCCCAAACCACCTCAACTGGCTCCTCTCGATGTGGAGCATCGATGTTGATGTTATCTGACATTCAGCCCCTTAATTTGAACTGGAAGGCATTGACAGAGAGGAGAATGGAGAAAAGACTCAGCTTTCGCATTAGCTTCTGTGCCAATATTTATGACGTTTGCTCAGGAGCTAATATATACCGTGTTAGCGCTATATGGTGTTAGCACCAGAGCTAATGAATATGGCGTTACCTCTAGAGCAAATATATATATATGGCGCTAGTTCCAGAGCTAAGATATATGCTAGTTCCAGGGCTAAGACATATGCTAGTTCCAGGGCTAAGATATATGTCGTTAGTGCCAGAGCTAATATATATGGCGTTGGCTCCAAAGCTAATATATACTATATATAAAACACTGGCACTAAAACCATGTATGGGGTTAGCGGCAGAGTTAATATACATGTTGTTAGCTCCAAAACTAAAATATATTATGCTAGGTCCGGAGCTAATATGATATTAGCTCCAGAGCCAATATATATATATATATATATATATATATATATATATATATGGCATTAGCTCCAGAGCTAATATATATGGTGTTAGCTCCAGAGCTAATAAATATGGCATTACCTCTGAAGCTAATATATATGGTGTTTGCACCAGAGTTAATATATATGTTGTTCGCTCCAAAACTAAAATATATTACGTTAGCTCCAGAGCTAATATATATGGCGTTAGCTCAAGAGCTAATATATATGGCGTTAGCTCCAGAGCTAATATATATGGCGTTAGCTCCAAAGCTAATATATATGCTTTAGCTCCAAAGCTAATATATAGTGTTAGCACCAGACTTAATATATATGTTGTTAGATCCAAAACTAAAATATATTATGTTAGCTCCAGAGCTAACGTTAGCTCCAGAGCTAATATATATGGCGTTAGCTCAAGAGCTAACATATATGGCGTTAGCTCAAGAGCTAACATATATGGCGTTAGCTCCAGAGCTAATATATATGGCGTTAGCTCAAGAGCTAATATATATATATATAGTGTTAGCTCCAAAGCTAATATATATTACGTTAGCTCCAGAGCTAATAAATATTGCGTTCGCACTAGAGCTAACAAATATGGCATTATCTCCAAAGCTAATATATATGGTGTTCGCACCAGAGTTAATATATATATGTTGTTAGCTCCAAAACTAAAATATATTACGTTAGCTCCAGAGCTAATATGACGTTAGCTCCAGAGCTAATATTACATTAGCTCTAGAGTCAATATATATGGTGTTAGCTCCAGAACTAATAAATTAAACATCCCAAATTCATCACAGTTGATTGTTTTGACCCATATATTGTGCATAAGGACTAATAAAAAAATATAACTTTATTGTCACGTTATAACTTTTCGGCTTTTACTCCTTGTGTTCTAGTCTCTACGACAACCGATGTACATCACTGCCCTGAATGCACCGCGCTGGTAAAATAATGGCAACATCCTTAGGTGAAAAATGTAATAAACATTTATAATATTTTAAGTAATTATGATATTTAATGTGTCACAAACAACACCTTTAGTAGAAAAGGGAAATAAACACGTTGAGGCCGATATGTTGTGAGATATATTAAGTGCTCAGAGAATGCGTTTTGAAGAACAGTCAACTACTACCACACCAGACTTTAGCTCAATACATGTGAAACTGGTTGAGTTGTTGCCATGTTTCGTGTTTTCTAAGGTCAGTTGGCTGTGATGGACTAATGCAGACCAATGAAAAGGTAAATTACCGTACCGTAATTAAGTAATGTGTCGTGTTTTTTGTAAGATCAAAGCTACTGCAGTAAGTTAGAGAGAAATTACAGCCCACTTCCTGTCGATTATTTCATGTTTCTGAGCATCTGGATTGCGGTTTCCATGCCCGCTTGACCCTGCCCAGCCCTGCCAAAACTAAACACCTAAGGGTTCCACATGTCTCTGGTTTGGCTTTTTTAGTAACCCTCATCTAGGGTTAGTGGCCAAAGGTTTACTAAGGGTCTACAAGGTTTTTGGCTGCAGAAACTGACCTCAGGCATGCTTTGCCTGCCGCCTCGCCAACTATGTATGAGTGTGTGTGTTGGGGAGGCTTTGGGGGCGATGCAACCCGACTTCTTGGGAGCCACGACAAGACCTTGCATGACTCGAACACAACCACAGTCCAAGGCGAAGCCGTCTCAGACGTCAACGGAGCCAACCACCGTGAAGCCACACCCGGAGAGGTGAAGAATGCACGCCGATCTGCTGCTGCAGCCCTGCGGCTTTGGACGAGGCGCTTCGGGGGGAAGCGGACGGTGAAAGAAGGGATAGACGAGCGTGGTCTCGGTAATCGCGAAACTTGGAACGCGGGGGGGGGTGGACGCGCGTTTGTTTTCCCCGACGGCAGAGGAGAGACAGCAGCCCGAGCTGACAAACTGGATGTGACGAGAGGAAGAATTTAGGGAGGAGAGATCCAGACTGCGAGGAAGATCTAATTAAACTCTGGTTTCAGGAGGTTTTCTTTTTTGGGGAGGGAGGGAATATTTCTGCAACTGCAGTCAGCAGCTGATTCCTAATCTCATTCCCTGGGAGGAATGCGCGTGTTTTTCAAGGCGAGCGTGCGTGTCCGATCGGCTGTCGGGGGACTGGGAGGGGTGGGAGAGAGGATGGAGACGTGGGCGCCTGCCCAGAAAAACACCAGGCGCAGGAAATAGTGTTTTTACGGACGTGTCTTTGACACTGCGACGGACGAGGACACGTCAGCGTGTTTACCGTCTACACCGGACGTCGTTTGGTTGAGGGAAGATCCCCAAACGAAAAGTGCCGATGTAGCACTTTGACACCAGCATGCCATTTGTCAGAGGGTTGTCGTCTACGTTTACAAACACAAACAATAAAAACGGGCGGCGCGCAGATGTCGCTGTGGGGTTTGAACAGTGAGTGTTTTTCTGGACTGGAACAAAGAGTTTAAGTAAACCTAAATGTTTTTGGTGCAAGTTATTTAAGGGTAAGATGTCTAGGATTTTATTTTCTATAGCAAAGTAAGTAATTCCGAAAGTCCCAGGTTCGATCAATAGCTGCCCACTGCTCCACCTGAGTGTATCCCAGGTGTGATGGGTTAAACGCAGAGCCAGTTTCACCATTGTATGGGAACATACAACAACACATTATTATTATCGATAATTCAGGAAGTAGAAGGTCTGACGTATACAAAAACATGTCATCAGCATATAAAGAAACTTTGCGCTCTGTGCCTAATCGACTACACCGGTAGTTTTTTTTTACTTGTTCGAGGCAGCACAGATTGACGGATCCTACCGAGGGAGCAATTTTATCCACCACCAGGCACATTGGAGGAGCCAGGGGGTGGCCATTGGTGGCCTTGGCCCCCATAGAATAATCTTCAGCCTCAGCATTTGAGGAAACTGTGCTTTTGTGCAAGATTAAAAAAATAGAATAGATTTCTCAAATTATTGCGTAGCTGGTCTACATATATGTATGGCCAGTTTATATATGTGGTAGCAGCCATCTTGGATTTTGACTGGGCAACCCAGTTTTTAAAAGGAACCATTCTTGCTGCTCATGTAGCCTCACACAAAAATGGAAGTCGGTACAGGACTTATTTTTTAACACTATGGTGCTCAACATGCACAGATGGATGAAGGGTACGTTTTGTGCTCCGCTTGATTAGCCATTAGCCTAGCTAACGAGATGAAGACTTTACTTTTTGACTAATGCGAAGCTACGAAGTAATAAAATGATTTAACTGTTAAACTTTTAGAGTCTTTTAACTTTGACCCCAGATGGCTGCAGCAGCAAACTGAGGTTTCATTTACTGGTCTAACTGGTGCGGCTGTGGGCTCAGAGTCTCTGGGACTTTTTCACCCAAACACTCAGCATGAGAGGCGGCGGGCGATCTGCAACATTCACTCATCACACCTGTAAAAGAGCCGGACTGTGACGTCATCCGCCCTGTGCGCACGCGGGTTTGTTTACCTGCCTGGTGAAGAGGATGGCCGCGTCGTGGTGCTGCACGTGCTCGTCGTCCAGCGGGTTCTGCTGGTTCTGCCACTTGCAGAAGCTCTTCAGGGTCGCCGCCGCGTTCTTGGAGACCTCGAGCCCCTTCTCCTTCCCGGTGACCGTCAGCACGCGCACCACGTTCAGCCGGATGGGGTTCTCGATGCTCGCGTGCCCGTACAGCCTGGAGGCGATGGAGGCCAGCGTCAGCAGGTAGTGGTTCAGGTCGCGGCCGTACTTCTTGGCCATGGTCTCGTCCGCCACCAGGAGCAGCTCCACGTGCCTGGCGCGCGACACCGACCTCTTGCCGCGCGCAGCCTCGGCGGAGCGGCTCCGCCGCCTCCTGCCGCGCGCGCCGCGTCCCCTCCTCTGCCGCTTCGCGTCTCTGCGTCCTCGGCGCGCGTCGCGCGTGCCGCAGCTCTCGCGCCCCTCGTTCAGAGCCTCGAAGCTGAAGCTTTCGCGCGTGAACGCGTGCAACGCGCTCTCTGCGTCCTTGTCGTGCAGGGCGCGCACGTCGTGCTCGTGTCCCCTGGCCCTGACGATGGGGGTGATGGTGTAGCGCGAGCGGTTGACGGCGAAGAAGCCCTCCAGACCCCCCCCGCACACGTTGAGCACCGCCAGGGACTCCGGGTTCGAGTCCACGGTCCCCCGGTACGCGCACTCCCGCTGCGCGGGACTCTGCCCCATCACCGCGAGCGCGTACTGGGGGCTGAGGCGCACCGACTCGTCCCGCTCCATGTCCAGCTGGAAGCGCCTCCCGTCCAGGTACACCAGGTAGCCCACCTTCCCCCCACCGTGGTAAATCCGGTCTATGGTCCGGACCACCCCGTCCGTCCTCCGGGCGGGCGACAGCAGCGAGCCGCCCGCAGGTGGCAGGTAGAAGCCCTGGAAGGTGGTCACGCGCCGAGCTCCGAGCTCCAGCAGCAGCAGGAGCCAGAGCGCGACGCCCCCCCGGGTCCGAGCACCGAGGAGCCGCGGCATTCTTCACTCCGAGCCGACACGCGCAACTTTCCGTGCCTGTCCCCCCAGAAGACGCATCCTCTCCGGGTCCGGATCCCTCGCGCGCAGAGCAGCCAGCAGAGCTGAGACCATGGAGGGAGGAGGAAGCGCGCGCGCAGGCTGGAGAGGAGGACTGAGCTGAAGTTGGAGAACAAAAACACAAAGTTTGGCTTAAGAGGAGCGGGAGAGGAGAAGTCCTGCCCCTTTGTGCTCAACCTCCTCCTCCTCCTCCTCCTCCAGAGGGAGGACAAGTGGAGGACTTGGACACTGTCTCCCATCTTCACCAGGGCCTGGTCCAAACTTCTGTTTTTATCTTTTACCTCCTGGACTCTTTGAATTATTGAAGCTGAAGCAGTTTCAGATTAAACAAATCATGGCCGCTCCCAAAAACACTGTTAGGAAAATATCTCATCAGCCTCTGGACAGATGTTCGTCATGAAACGGTAACCTTTGGGTGAACCCCGTTACATCCTGCCACGAATAACAGAAACTGTTCGATACGAAACAGCTAAAACTTTAGCTGTTTTACTGACGCCGAGCTAAACTTTGACGTGGTAGTAGCCGAGAGTCATTTCAAGGTTTGATCAACGCGGTGTTTTTAACATCTAATACTCTGAGGGGACGCAGGCAGACATGAAGGCTCATGGGGGGGGGGATTAGCCGGTGGCGCACAGGTTTTTATCGGTTTTATCGTGAACAGGAACAGATTTGAAGTTTTGTCTGTGTGGCGTCCTCGTTCGAAGTGTTCCCATGATGGAGTGGCAGACGTTAGCCCAAAAATAAAAGTAAAAAAAAAAAAGGGGGGCGGTGTCTTAAATCAACATACCATTTATAAATAAATTGGTATGGTATACCGCATTTTCCGGAGTATAGTTCAACGTTTAAATTGCATTTATTATGAGTCACCGCTGACCCGTCGCGTTTATTTAATGGTCAGAACAGCTTCATTTTGCCTTGACGGCGCCATCCATCCACACATCCATCCATCCATCCATCCACCCATCCATCGTGGCGGAGCCGCTAGCTCTCCAGCGTTCCTCCGCCTGCACCAGCTGAGTGAAGCGAGCGCACACGGGAGGACTCGCTGCTGCAAGTTCGTCGAAATTTAAAGCGTCAGTCAGAAATTGCGTTATGAATACGGGGAGAAGTAGATAAATCGCAGGACTGACAAATCTATGAAGAAAAAAACCAACCTGCGACTTATACGCCGGAAATTACGGTAATCTGAGTATGGGGCCTCAGGTCGTGACCTCTGTGGTAAAAGCCTAGCTACGGCCCTGCTGCTGCACCGCGGGTCCAGAATCGAGCTGAACTTGGTGCCTGCGTCGCTCCTCTGTTATGCAATCCCACCCCCACTTCTCTGCCCCCCCCCCCCCCCCACCATCTCTCCCTTACACCAAACTGTGAAGGACACCCATAAAGGCAGAGCAGCAGCCGATCGTTCACACCGACAAAAAAAAAGGTTAATTAAAAAAAAAAGCAACAAACCCGACCCTCTCCCCCCCCCCCCCCCCCCCCGATGAGTTTTAATCCCCTTCGTCTCAAAGAGAGATGCGCGCCGCAGCACGTGCGAGGTTGGACCAAAACAAGCTCTCGGAGCGCGTGCCGAGCCACGTGCGGACGGCCCCACTTCCTGCCAGAGAGGGAATCCGACGCGGTTAATTGACGAGCCGAGCCGTTTATGTAACCGCCGGGCTCCGTCTGCCCCCCCCCACATCACTACACGCACTCCCATCAGCTCTAAACGAATAACGCCCCTCAGGATGGGAGCGTCTCCATATCCTCGGCAGAAACCAGGTGTGCTCAGCATCTGTTGCCATGGCGCCGACTGGGATGGAGGGGTGTCTCCTGGGTGACGGCCCACAGGTGCACGTTCTTTGTTGACGCACATGCACACTCTCCTCTCTAATACAGAGCCAACAGCCTTTTTCTTCAAGTGTTTTCATTTTTAATAATAATTAAAAAAAAACATTTTTAAAGAAAAAGTACACGGATGTAAACAAACAACAAAAAATAACAGCAAGTTTGTTTTTAGGGCGCTCAAGTTTGCATACGGAGCCTATTTATGGCGTTTAGAACAAATATTTCATTTTTTTAAAGGGTTACACAAGTACCGTACGGTACATTTTGTACTGGACTCTCAGTGCAGCGAGACAGATGAGAGGAAAGTGAATTATTAAACGAGTTCTTCCACATGGAGAAAAAAAAAAACATTAAAAGTTTTTGTCTCGGCGTCTGATTAAAAGTCGAGGCCAAAACGAGAATCTCTGCGGCAAAATTTTTCATCCTTTTCACGTACGGTAATTTATTTATTTTTTACAGTGATCCTTCTAAAATAGAAACGTTTCACATGACAGAGTGCAACGACACAAAAGTTTTGTTGAAAATCATAAAACGTGAAAAATAAATAGAATTTTAAAATTTAAGTGAGAAACTTTTAGATTACAATCATATTATTTTGTAATAAATACATAATTTGTCACTTCTATCAGTAAAATTCTACATTTTTTCAACTGTAATAAGAAAAACCTTTTTCTAAAACACAATCCCTACTTATATAAATATCTTATTCTTATAAATTCCCCTCGATTTTTTTTTTTTTTTAACATAATCTCAAACTACGCACATTATATTTTACACCTTGTGGACTTTTATGTCCAGTCATTTTAAAATCGCTTTAACGAAACAACATTCTTAAAAACAAAGATTATGACAAAATGGTGACATCATCAACCTTAATGTTCTGTGCTCAAAATTAAAAAAATAAAAGAAAACGTGGAGTTTAATTCACCTACGACACGGCAGACGTTTCGTAAAGTTTAATAAACCACGGTTGAAGTGGCGTTCCAGGAAGGATAATTTTTTGTTTATTAAAATGTAAACGTAGTTTTGAGTCCGAAGGTTTTATTTTTTTGTCCTAAATGTTGTCATTTAGCAAAGCATGAAGGTGAAATCCGTTTTTTAATCGTATTATAAGAAAAGCGAGATTTGCCGGTGCCGACAAACGTCGACTTGGTCTGTAATGACAAAAGTCGAACTCTTAAAGGGGCAGTTTGCATCTTGATCTTCAAACAGCCTCGATTTGGATGAATAACGTTTTATTCGGGCCGTGTTGACGGCTAGTGCGAGCGTTGCCGTCAGTTTCACATTCCTTCATGCCATCAGATACGAAACAAGAGCGAAGAACCTTATTTATGTGGAACTAGAGCAAAGAACGTTATAGATACAGATCTAGAGCAAAGAACGTCATTGATGCGGAAATACAACGAATAACGTTATTAATGCAGAACTAGGAAGAAGACATTACTGATGCGGAACCGGAACTAGAACGAAGAACGTTACTGATGCGGAACTAGAGCAAATAATGTTACTGATGCGGAACTAGAGAGAAGAACGTTACTGATGCGGAACTAGAGCAAATAATGTTACTGATGCGGAACTAGAGAGAAGAACGTTACTGATGCGGAACTAGAGCAAAGAACGTTACTGATGCGGAACTAGAGCGAAGAACGTTACTGATGCGGAACTAGAGCTAAGAACGTTACTGATGCGGAACTATAATGAAGATTGTTTCTGATGTGGAACTAGAGCAAAGAAAATTACTGATGCGGAACTAGAACAAATATTGTTACAGATGCGAAACTAGAGTGAAGAACGTTACAGATGCGGAATTAGAACGAAGAACGTTACTGATGCGGAACTAGAACGATGATTGTTACAGATGCGGAAATAGAGTGAAGATTGTTACAGATGCGAAACTAGAGCAAAAAATACTGATGCAGAACTA